GGGCGGTGAGGGCGGTGTGGGCGGAGGGGGTTTGGGCACAAATTGGAAGCCTCTAAATACTTCATAAAGATAAAGACTTACACAACCCGAACCAAGGGCAGAAGGCGGTGGGCAATGGGGGCAGTGGGGTGGACAAAGCGCTGAGGGCGCTGGGGGCGGTGAGGGCGGTGAGGGCGGAGGGGGTTTGGGCACACACACAAAGCGCTGGGGGCGGTGTGGTGAGGGTGGGGGCGGTGAGGGCGGTACTTTGAATTCTTCATAAAGACTGACACAACCCGAACCAAGGGCAGAAGGGGGGCAGTGGGGTGGACAAAGCGCTGAGGGCGGTGGGGGCGGTGAGGGCGGTGAGGGCGGAGGGGGTTTGGGCACACACAATATAAGGCGGTGGGGGCGGTGTGGGCGGTGCACAGGCCTGTCAGGCGAAGACGGCTGTCCACCGGTGGCAGCGCCAGCTGGCCGCTGGGGGCAAGGAGGCCACGAGATGGCTAAAGGGCAGGCAGCGCCGAGTTACGGTGTCTCACCGCCAGACAGCGTGCACACGACGGCTCTCTCCACTACTCAGAATCTCGAGCACATTAGGACATTCTGGCAGCGCATCTGGGATAGGCCTGTCGTCTGCAGGCGGGCCGCGGTGCAGAAGTGGCGAGGTTACGGCCGACCCCGTCCGTGCAACTTTCAGCCCGCTCAGGTCTGGAGCGCCGAGGTCCTTCACAAGATTGCCTTGACTAAGGCCAGCTCTGCGCCGGGCATAGACGGCTGGCGAGGGGATGAAATCAAGTACTGGCCTCACCGTGCGTGGGTCGCTTACTCAGAGCTTTTGTGCAGGTGGGCCGGCCGGGGAACCTACCCACGCGCCTGGCAGGAAATGAGGCAGGTTCAGGTGCCTAACTCCTCTGCCGAGGAGCTCTCTGGCGAGGTCTCGGCAGCCGATCTCCGACCGATTGTCATCATGTCGATCCTGTGGCGAGTTGCTTCTTCTGCCATTGCTAGTTGCCCTGCGGTGCAAGCTTGGCAAGCGGAGGTCCTCTCACCTGACCAGTACGGCGGAGTGCATAAAAGGCATATCCGCCATGGCCTCGGCAGGATCGCTGGGCGTCAGGCCCAGGGAGACCCGGTCGTAAGCTTGGATTTCGCCAAATGTTTCGATCATGTGGACCCGAAGTTGGCATGTGACCTGCTGGCCGCGGCGGGATTTCCTTCCACCGCAGTGCACATGTTGCGACACACCTGGGAGCAAACTCGTTTCATTGAACTGAATGGCTGTGTCCAGGGACGTGGACACCGAGTGAGTTCTTCACTCCCACAGGGAGATGGACTTGCCCCACTGGCACTGAATGTGATGTTGTCGGCTCCATGCAGACATGTTGCCAGTAGCTTCGGGAGCAGCCTGCGGCAGAGTGTGTTTTTGGATGATCGTGCCTTCACCATTGAACCACGTGCTGTCGCTAGGGTTCTTAGTGTTTGGGGGTCTTGGTCTCTGGCTTTAGGGCTTAAGGAGAACGAGAGCAAGCGTGCCGTTGTCTGCAGTCGCCCACGCACGGCCGACAGCATACGCCAGCAGGGATTGGGCTTGTGGCTCAAACAGCATGCCCGCATCTTAGGAGTGGACTTCACTGTCAGTTCTGAGACCGGCAGGCCTTCTTCAGCTGCTCGCTTTCAGGAGGCCATGCGGATTGGCAAGCGTTTGCTCACCAAAGGCATCGCACTGGACATTCGCCGAGACCTGTGGCGCACAAGAGTCCTCCCACTGGCCACCTGGGGTCATCTCTTTGACCCGCCTCGGCTGGAGGACATCAAGGAGTTGGAGAAGCTGGGCGCGTCTGTGAAATACTGGCACCGCGCGGCGAGTGTCCATCTCCGCCGGCTCCTTGAAGGACACAACATGGACATGCACTTCCAGGCCGGAATGCACGCTTGCCGCGCTCTCCTGGCAAGTGGCAGCTGGGAAGAAGTTGCGCGGACACAGGGTCCTGGTACGTGGTTTGGCACTGTTTCAGGCTTCTTGCGGGACATGGGATGGCATGGTGAGAGCAACACGGTCTTCACCACAGAGCATGCTAGGATTGATTTTGCCACAGGCCGCCTGAGCAACATCGCTCACTGCATTCGAGCTCAGTGGCGGGACATGTTGCTACGCCGGTTTCGAGAGTCTGGGCGCAGGGATTCCTCTCAGCTGCAAGGATGGCTCCCCAGTGCTAACAGCACCCGCTTAGCTATCCGGATGTACCAGGAGGCGCCAGCGGAAGGCAAGGCTGTTATGTCTGGTGCGGCATGCAGCACCGCTTTCTACGACATGAGAAAGACTGGTGGAGTTGATCCCACCTGCCGATGGTGCCTGACGCCAACAGTTGCTGACTGGGATCATTTGGTATGGAACTGTCCGGCGATGCTTGGATGTGACCAGAGGCCGCCGTGTCCTCTGGACCCGGCGACTCGTCGCCTGGGCTGGCCTGAAGTGGGCGACTCAGGTTCGTGCGGCTGCCCGCCTGAGATGGATGGCATCGGTCCGGGAGCAGGTCCGTGAGTACCTGGGCTAAGGACTTCGTGAGCGTTGGACTGTGTAGCCTGCTGCTGCTGCTATGGTCCTCAGGTGCTTTTGGCCATGACTTTTCCTTGTCATCGGTATTTGCTTGAGCGCAGTGGGGAGTTTGCTACCGCTCCCCTGCTGTCAGTGCAGCCCCGTGGGGGCGTGGTCTTGTGTCTGCGGGCGCAATGATCACACAAGGCATACACACGTGTGGGCGGTGAGGGCGGTGGGGGCGGAGGGGGTTTGGGCACAGGGTGGGGGCGGTGAGGGCGTGAGGGCGGAGGGGGTTTGGGCAAACACAAAGCTGGGGGGGCGGTGAGGGCGGTGGGGGCGGAGGGGGTTTGCACACACATTGGAGTGAGGATGAGGGCGATGAATGGGGCAGTGTAGGCGAAGCGCTGAAGGCGGTGTGCGTGGTGGGGTCGGTGGGGGGGTGGCAGATAGCCAGCTTTTGAAGCAACCCTTCGGGATTTCACTGGCACCGCCCCAGCAGGGGTCGGCGGATCGCCAATTATCGCCATCATTTCGTCGGCAACGGTTACTGCAACTGCTGCTGCGTCCCATCGCCTGCTGCTGCCATCCGATGGAGGTGGACGAGAGCGTTGGCTTGAAGGCTGGAGATGCCGTGCACTTACGTGCAGGCAAGTAGCTGCGTACTATCATCCTCACCATCCTTGTCAGCAGGTTTGAAAAGCACACAGAATTTCATAACTTGGCAACATGCCTTTGCCACTTCGCTTTCCTCATGTATACTGCATTCACGTCTAGATATGGCATGTCACATTGGTCCCCTTGTTACATCGCCGACGTGTCGCCTGTACATCCTGTTGATATCCTGTTGTCCATTAAAGTTGGTTTGTTAGCCTGTCATTTCGCTATGCCGGTGCGTCTGATATCTGTTAGTGTGCACGCGCTACGAGGTATTGCTTCAGCCTTGCACCGTTTCTCTTCCATTCGTTGGCCATGTATTGGCGTGCCCGTGTCTGATTACTACGGCCATGCCACCATGTTGATGCTTTATCCTCTGTGCTGCGATTGCTACGAGTTTGATTATGTTTCTTATTGTCACGCTCTCGACGTTGATCTTCGGTTGTCTTCAGCAGGAATGTCCTCGTGATTCAGTGTTGTCATTCAACATGGTGGTCGGCTCGCCAATGTCCGGCTTTCGATCATCCTCAGCATGATTGTTCATCCTGATCAACATCTTCAAGTCTTGGACATCCAAGAAGAAGACGCAGATTAAAAAGAGCTGGAAAGGATGATCCGAAGTCCTGTCACCGTGCTCCGAGGAGATCTTCTTTGCCCCGATGCCGGTGGACAACAAGGCTTCGGGGCTTGCCCCGAGAGAGCAGGAACTCCTTGCCTGTCATGACAGGCCACGGAGACCGACAAGTACTGGAAGCGACGGGGGCAGAAGTGGGAGGTGAAGAAGAAGGCTTTCGGTTGAGAGGTCTTGCACTTCGCAGGTGTCTGCATCGAAGGAATCTCTCTCCCGCAGCCGTTGTCAAGCTGAGCACCGCGACATTTCCGAAATTGCGCTGCTGCCCTACCTTCTAGGCTTCGAAGGCCAGGATGACCTCGAGCCAGAGCACATTGAAGGACATTTTGGCAGATTTTCCTCGGCCCGACGAAGGCTTCGTGTCGGAAGCAGGATCAAGTCTGGAGCCCGCAAGTTGGGGCAGCCTGGGTCACCCCGAGCTGTGCCACCGGCCTTGCGTGTACCTCCTGAAAGGGAGCATGTGTTGGCAGGGTGCTTCTTGTCAGTTCTGCCACCACAGCCGGCACTCTCCGATTCCGAAGTTGGACAAGCAACAGAGGGCTCGTCTTCAAGGTCTGAGCGAGGAGGACAGAGTATCTTTGTTGATCCCGCACATCCGGCAGAAAGCTCTAGTGGCCGGGCTACCTGAAGAGGTCGAGGACTTCATCTGTGTCTTGAAGAAGAAGTTTTCAAACGAGACTTCTCACATCGAGCCTTACGTCGTTCACGATCATCGCCGAAAGAGCATAGATGGCAAAGAGCTCTGCAGGCTCAAGAAGATACTTGGTCACCTCTTGGGAGCATTCGCGAGTTCTTTTCTAGCGCTCCTTTGGAGTGCCAGCTCTCCCCTTCCTTTCCGGCAAAGCCAAGGACCCTGCACAACATGAACCTGACGGCTTTAATCAAGCTCCTGGATCCGAATCAAGAGGTGCAGGAAAAGAATTAACTGTGGTCTTCTTCTTATCACAACCCAAGTCATGCTAAAAGGTATTCAGTCACATGATTTCCTTGTTACTTGTATGTTGAACAGACGGCAACTGGTTTCCTTATCATGGTCACTTAAACCACGTTCCAAAAGCAAGAGCCCAGGCTATTGCCCACAGAGGATGAGGAGTTGGTCACAAGCTTCCAGAAGCTGCGGCTTTGCGCAGGGCCAGGGACTGAGTTGCGGAAGGCGAAAGGCCTCAGGAGCTCCGACAGTCTTAGACCAAGAACTGCCTGCAATGCTTGACATGATCAGGTCAGTGAAGTTCGAACTCTGAAGGATCTGACTGTCTTTCTTCCGCTCCGTTCGTTCGGGCTTGTCTTCGGAAAAGTCATGAAAAGTCTTAAGTTTCGGACCTTCCGGGTGTTAGGGTGCTGAGGGTCACCCGTCCAGCATGCTTTCAGTACGAGGAGGACCACCCGAACGCCTTTGTTCCCGAGATTTCCCGAGAGTCAAGAGACAGTGCAGTGAAATGAAGGCACGCCGTTCCCCCTGAACTGCTGGGTCTGGGTGCCGGAATTCCACGCCAGGCTTAAACTCAAGTGCGATGGTTACGAGCTGTAACAACACCGACTTCGGTTGCCGAGCAAGGCATATCTCTATTCAAGATCATTTCACGGAAGTGCGAAGCCGTCCAGAACCCAAAGCAGTCGGGATTTTGAGTGACCTAGCAGCGCTGTTTGTGGACTTGTTTCGGATGTGGCTGTCGGGCAGGGGAAAGCAGACTCATGCCTTCGAAAGCCAACGGAAGGTACATTCCTTGTACTTGCATCCTCGTTTGGGGACTTTGTTGCCTTTCGAATGTTGATTGCGTTCTTCTCACAGTCGGCATGCCTCTGTAGCTTTGTCCCAAGCACCTTGCTCCGGGCCTGTCCCAACGCAATGTGGGCCGGCATAAAGCCGCGTTGAACACTTGCCATTTCGATCGTCTGAGACGAGATATCTTCCATGGGTTGTTTTTGCGGGATCGGAGATCCCTGCCGGGAGCGTGGGGAGCATCGTGGAGCGGCTCCCTTCTCCTCCTCTCCGCAGGGATCCGGTAGGAGATCCCGTGACTCCGAGGCATGTGAGCAGATTCCTAAGCAAAAGGCCCGGGACTACTCTAGTCCCAACGCGGCTGCAGGGGGGGATCCGTTTTGGTGCGACGGGACATGCGAGTTGTGGCAGGTCGACACGCTCTCGAAGAGCCTCTTGGGCAGCAGGGTATGTCCTGGTGCTGACACTTCCGGCGCTAAACTTGTCTTTGCAACTGCAGGCAACAAAACGGCACGCTTCTATGCGAAGTCCATCTTTGGCACAGAACTTAGACGGGAGCATGAACCTGATGCCGGTGTGAAATTGCAAAATGCTATTCGAAGCCACACATGCTGAGGAGAGGATGCCGAGGGTTTGAGCTGGGACGTGCGAGGCGACAGGCGATTGGGAAGGGACTCAAGTTCATACAAAGGCCGCCGTTCTGGGCAAATATCGTGGATTGCGGGCAGGGCCGAGAATTTCTACTCCGGCAGCTAGAGCAGCAGCCTCAGACCTCATGGTTTCGGACACGGCGACATCCTGTCGAGCCAGGTACAGTGTCCAGCTCATCCTGCCCACATCAAGCTCGGTAGAGCTGAGACCCAGACCCTTTCCAATTTTCAGGCAGCCGCCGTTTTGAGAGAGAAAGATTGGCGTTAAGACCGAAGTGCGAAGTGCCTCAGCCTCTTGTCCTCGCATTCCTGACAGCTCGAAGCCGCCGGGCCAACTTGGCTCGCACAGCTGGCACAGCTCGTGAGCCACAGCCGCCTGACCAAGCGTCCATGTTTCACAGCCCCCCCCCCCGTTAAAGCAGATGCTCTCATGTCTTAGGCCTTCCCCTAGCAGACTCTTTTGGTGACGTAACATGGGCAGTGAGGCTGGGCACCTCGAAGGTCCAAGTGCCTGTGGTGCTCTGCACTGTGCAGGCATCTCCTCAAGTCACGATCCTCTCATGGAATCTGTTGCTGGATGACCTTATCTCCAATTTCATCCCAAGGACCGATGGCTCAAGGATGCATGCCGAGTCCCCTCCCGGGCTCTTTCCGCTCCCTCACTCTTGTTTCTGTGGGAAAGGACGATGAAAGATCCACCCGACGAGCTGCTGAAAGGAATTTTTAAGGAGGCTCGAATTCTGAGCCTCGCCTTGACTGCAATCCGGTGCTCTTGATAGGGCGACCCAAAGAAACAGTGGAGAGACCTCAAAGCCAGGATGAATGAGGACATTTTCGGGACAAGTGCCAAAATGCGACGCTAAAGCCGCTAAAGCATGAGTCAGGAGTACAAGCCCTGGCACCAGATGAAAGACTTGATTAAAGACCCGCACGACGTTTCGCAGAAGCTTCGGGCACTTTGGAGCCAGTCGAATCTCAGAAACTTGGAGGCGGGCCTGGGCCGGTTTTTGTGTGTGCAGAAGTCTCCTTAATAATTACCTCTACTATTTTGGGGGCTCCTTATTATCGTTACAGTATAGTATGCCCCCCAAAAACCCCATTCAAATCTTCTGACTGTGCCTGGTGCGGCCAGGGTTGGGATCTCGGCCTTCAGAAGGAGAAAGTCAGAGATGAAGTCACCCTGGAGACACACCTGACCTGCTTGGGTGTTCTGCAGAAGGAGCTAGAAGACAAGGCCGGGTTCCTTTTTTTCCAGACTTCAAGGCCCTAATGCCCTCTCCCCCGGAAGCCTCACATGAGAGTTTCAGAAAATCAGGGGCAGGAGTACAGACGAACCTACGTATTGCAAGACAAGGTACCTTTCCGAGACAAGGTACCTTTCCGGCACCTTTACTTTCTTTTGGTTGGGCCTGAGAGGAGTTGGGGCGAAGGGTCTACGACCACATCGCAAAGGAAAACATCCACCGGACGTGGGTCGCCCGGCGTATGCCCGGTGCTGCTTCGTCGTCTCAGTTGTGGATTAGGCTTGTGAGTTGCGGCAACGAGCATTTTCTCTCTTGCAATAAATTCGCGCTAATGGTACATGAATTGGTACCTATCCTTTGCGTCGTTTCTGCATTGTGCCTTTGCCGTCTGTTCCTGTTTGCAGCTGGACTAGTTGTCTTCTTTACTGTGTCGACCTGTTTGCAATGTTGCCCGGCTTTCCGGAAGGAGCCTGGTACGCAACATCCTGCATGATCTGAGGAAAGACGGATGCCAAAGGTTCTGAAAAGGATCAGGGAAGAGGCACCGGATCTTGTGGCCTTCCAAGAGTATGAGACTTGGCATGTGTTTGAGAGACATGCTTCGTGGGATGGTCTCTGTGCACATGTGGGTGCATGCGTGGGTGGGTAAATGGGCGGGTGGGAGGGTGGGAGGGTGGGAGGGAATGTGAGGATGCATGCAGTGTAAGTTAAGTATAAGTGCGTAGAGTTCAGGCATACATGCATGCACACAGCAAAGATGCAAGCAGACAAGCAAGCATGCACGCCCGCTTACGTACGCAGACACATACGTGTCACGTAGTGGCGAGGTTTACGTGTGGATGAACATATAAGATAAGTGTGACGGTTCTCACACACACACACACGTGCGTGTGCGCGTGTACCTTTGCAAGATACTGTATGTATGTATGTATGTATGTATGTATGTATGTGTATATGTATGTCTGTATGTATGTATGTATGTATGTATGCATGTATGTATGTATTCATGTATGTATGTATGTATGTATGTATGTATGTGTGTATGTGTGTATGT